AAAAAAAGATAACAAATATTCCACTTACCCAACTTCTTTCCGACGATCCCGATGGTTCACGTACATCTGCTGAGTGACTATGGTCACTTTAAAAAAACAAAGAAAAAACAAAAGATTAGAAATGTTTAAAGTGATTTGAAGGGATCACCTTGAGATTAACAGCTGCGTTTTGGCTTTGTGATCTATCATTAATCATAGCACCTTACGAGTCTCTTTTTCTATCGCAGTTTTTGAGATTTTGTATAAAAAATTCGCTATTATAAGCTTCTCTGCTTTCCTTGTAAATAGATATATATATATATTTTTTTTTTAGAAGACATCAGAATACTTAAATATCACAAACAGTAACAAAAAGCCATTAAAACAATTTCACGTGCGCCTATGAGTGAATGTCCTGTGATTTTTGACGTCCGTATGCTTTCATTCAGAGCGCGAGCATTACCGGGAGTCTTTATATTATGTATTATTATTATAAGTAATTCAGCCAGAGGAATAAATTTTTCAACTAAAGTTTTAACGTACTAAGCATGCCAAGGCCATAGTGCGGCTAAAGCGTAACTTATGTAACATGTGTGAATAATATTCAATAACAACAAGAAGTCTCTCTAAGAAGTCAGTAATGAACTATAAGCAATGTGAAATGAGTGAAAGTGAGTTGAGTAAGTCTTCAAAGCATTTGTTAAATTCCTATCCTATAATCCTATATTGATCCGAGTAGGCTTTCATTTGGTTGATGCAAAACGGCCAAGAATTCCAGAATTTACTTAAAAGAAATGTTAAAAGCGCTCTCTCTTAAAGTAAACTGTAATGTTCGCCTAATCAAACTGTCATGATAATACACTGAGTCTATGATGGTGTTTGGTCCGTGAGAACAAACATCTATTTTTCATGGAAAGATGACATTATTAAATAGCGAACGCGATAATCTGCAGTTTTCCATCTGTGTAATGTTCGCTTCAGATTTACCAGAAACATGGGAATGCCTTGCACGCCAATTGGTATGAAAAATGATTCAAATCGGTCGTAGCACACACCTACAGAAAGGCGTAAAGTGAGAAAACATCTGTTTTTCAAAAGGAATAAAAAATAGTTTTTTTTGCTCATTGCTCACAAGGTACAAAAGATAGATCTATAAACAATTGAGCGTATTTTCTATGGGCTATAGTATCTATACAAAAATTAACCCAATATTATAGTGCATCAAAACTTAATTTTTTTCAATACTTTTCTGAGCAAGTTTTGAAAACCCCATTAAGTATATAGATTCTTGGCCAAATTCAAGTTCAAAATGCAGCCAGGCGTGTCCGCCCATATGTCAGTCCCTCCGTCCGTCTATCCAACGCTGTAGCATCTGTGGCAAACATTTCCCTGTTCGTAAAAACGAAGATATCTTCTACAAATTTGCAAAAGAGTTTGGAAATGATCTAAACCTATGAAAGGACTCGCCTACAACGCTCGTACGCTTATGCGCCAAAAATTGAAGAAGGCTTTGCGTTTCGCATCTTTTGCTCGTTACTCATAAACTACAATACACACTCCATATAAGTTTCCAATTTTTATTAAAAAAACCAACCGCGTCCAGCCAGTATTATGGAGCATGAAAATTTAGTTTTTTTCCTTTTTTTGTCTTTTAAGATAACGGTAATAGATATAAAATTATCTTCGGCCGAGTATATTTTCCTTGCTTTTTTTATAGATGTAAAAGATTCGGCCATGCCCGAACATCAATTCTTTCATCTGTTTTTTTTTTTTGTTGGTATGTATCAAGGTCATGGTGCAAAAGTTTCAAAGTAATAAGAATCACTCGACATGTTTGAGCAAAGTAGCCAATGCAGTCAGAAAACTAATCAAACTTTTAAATTAAAACATTCTCGTTGTTGTTATTGTTGTTGTTGTCATTTCATTTTCATTTTTGGTATATAATTTGATGGTATGAAATATCCGGTTAAGAAAATCAAATAAAATTCAGTGAAGTTATATCCCAAGACTAGCAGAAAGAAGCCTACAACACCTTATGTCATTTTGACAGAATGACTGACAGACACATATATATATATAAAATATATACATATATATATATATATATATATAAAAAGTGCGCATGGACAACGACGACGTCGACGACGAGGTTAAGGAAAAGACATAAGCGCTGACGGGCTTACTATGTATAGTTTTTGATTGTGATGTTCGTTCCGTTCTACGAACATGAAGCTGCCTGGCTAGCAAGCAGTCAGTCAGTCAAGCCAAGCAATCAAAAAGATTAAAGTGAAAGAGATAAAAATCTCAAGGGCAATGATTGCTAATGTGGTTAAAATTATACTTAAAAAAAATAAATAAATAAAGAAAAAAAAACAACAACAAAATCAAAGATGAAAAATAAAGACGAAAAGACGAACATTTTAACGAACTTAATACCAAGCATTTATTTATAAATCTTATTAACTAAGAATAATAATAAAAAGAAAAAAACCATTTCTCTTTTGTTAAAATTTAAAAAGAACTGATTTACCACTTAACATAACATTTATTTTAATAACAATTTTGAAGACAACAGAAAAATTCCTGCATATAAATGAAATTAATAAAGATAATTGAAAACGCGTGCACAAGAAGCTGTTCACGTTCAATCACTCAGACAGACAACCTACAATAAAAATGTGTAGCATTTTTTTTTTTTTTTTCTTTTCGTATATATCAGCAGCAGCTGCTGCTGCTACTGCTACATACCCCTAAAAAAGAACCATAAAAATGCCCAAAAATAAATTTTTATTTTTGTTTTTTTTTTTGTTTTTTTTTTTTAAATGAAAAACAGGTAAAGACCAAATCAAGTCAGTGCTACTACTAAAAGCATACGAAAACATTTATGTTGAATTCCGTCCGTGTTGAACCTGAAATTTAAATTTTTCTCTTTATTTATATGATGATGATTGTACGCCCGGCATCATCATGCACGATATTTATAGAAGGGCATAGGTGCGGGTAAATAATTAATTTTTGCTTTTTATATTTGCTATTGTTGTTGTGGTACGTTGGGATGGCATTTAAGAACAAAAAAACATCAGAAAAAAAAAAGAAAGGAAATAAAACAAGCATTTAAAAATTCTTATGTTGAAAGCAGGTGTGAGCATTTTTTCATCTGCATCATTCACGTACCCATGCATTCATTTATTTACGTGTACATATTTGACTTTTATGATGAAAACTTTGTAGAGCATTTGAAATTTTGTACTTTTAGTTGGAAGGAAATTAACTTTTGGTTTTTTTTCATTCTTTTTTTTTTTTATAAAAACCGCAGGGAATATATTAACTTGGTCAAATACAGCTAAAACAGTGAAGTTTGCATATATAAATATAAATTTTTCTCTCTTTATACACACATCTACGTATAATGAAACTTCAGATTTTTATTTGAATTTTATAGCTTTCGGTCTTTATGTAGTAAAGTTATTTGTAAAGTAAAATGACTAATGGCATAGTGGCATCTCTAACGTAAAAGAACAGGATTGTGCCCATTCCGGGGAGGATAAAGCTTTTGCAAAATACCATATTCTAATATAGCGTGTTATTAATGGCTATGCAAGTTAGAAAGGCAGAGCCGTTACAATCGGTCGAACGTGGATTCAAGTTTCAAGGCCGGTAGAGTTTTCAATGAAGCCCATAGCCTTTGACATATACTAATGCTTTAAAACTTTAGTCTTAGAATTTATTTCTTTGGCTAAATAAATTATAATAATAGTAATAATAATACCGAAGGAAAAAAACAAGTCTATGTGATGAGTTTATTCTACAGCAAAGCACACACGTGGTATAAAATCTTTCAAGTTGATCGTTAATAAATTGAAATTTTGTGAAAAATTGTGAATAACTTCATCGACGATCAACCAAAGACTTGCGTAGAAATGATGAAAATGGAATTAAATTGGTTCACGCTTTGCACAAATCGCCTGGTGATCAAAAGTTAGGCAAAAAAGTCGCTTTTGGGGTTGGTGTTTTAATATGGGGTAATAGTTCATTCGCTTTAACGTCGTGTAATATTTCAACCTTCAAACTTGGAAAATGCACTTGTCAATAGAAGAAAGGCTTCCACACTGACCTGAAGGTCATTCCTAAGTCTTGAACCGATGCAAGAAATATTCTCTCAGTTCATTTTCATACATCCGATAGCCCTGTGATTTTAGTAGAAGATCAGTGAATGAAGTGACTTTCTCATTTACGCGGCAATTTTGTGTGCCATTTTAAAAAATTCGCATTGACTACGTCGATATTTGCTTCGATTAACACTTCCGTTGTACAATTATCACGCAAACCGTCTAAAATCTGTTCTTCAAACTAGTCCCTGAAATGCATTAAAATTTCTTGTCCGCAAATTGATTAAACACTCATAGAGACTCAAAAATTTGGGTGAAATCCAAAAATAGAACAGATTTTTTTTTTTAAATTGGTTGCGATAGCGAAAATCTGATTAGACATGTTATGTAAGGGTACTTAGAGCATCGTATTTTAGCATGATACAAATCGAACTAGAATGACGTGAATGAATTTTTGTTAGTGAACGACAACTCGCCTTGAAGTTGAAATGTTAACCTTAACATTTATCAAACGAATGTACGCAGAACTCTAGCGCTTTTCCCTTATACTAGGAATGGTACAATGGGTATACTAAGTTTGTGCGAATGTGTGCAACACCCAGAAAGACTTGAGTTAGACCCATTTTTTAATACACCGATCGATTCAGAAACACTTTCTGCATCTGTCTAATCTTATCCGTCCGTCTTGTTTTCTTACATGCTGCCTACAGGCCACAGTTTTTGAGATATTTAGATGAAATCTAATATATTGACGTGATTTGGCCCAATGACAAACGCTATTGAAAATGGTTCAGATCGGATTTTGAAAAGCCGTTACTGTGAGGTAGCGTAGAACATATTTATAGGTGGTATTTGAACATCCTATTTCGAACGTAAATACTTTTTATATTCATATTCTCTTTTTATTTACAGATGGCGAATATATGTTTGCCGATCCGGAAAGCAAACTTTCAAAATATGGTCCAAAAAGTTGGCGCTCCTCTCACACACATGTAATTAAAGATATAATTAAAAGAAAAAGAAAAGCGAAGACCCATCGGTTATTGTTTTTTATTTTTAAACAGGGTTTAGACGCCAATGGTCGACCACTCTTAGAACTACATTTTCGCGTGCAGTTCTACATCGAGAGCCCGTTGATGTTAAAAGATGAGACCACCCGACATAATTACTATCTGCAATTAAAATACAATGCCTTGAACCGGGATATTCCTCGAGAATATTCCGAACAATCTATGATTTTACTAGCTGGTCTAGCGTTGCAAGCGGATATGGGAGATGCTCCTTCCTTGGCAACCACGACTGGAACGGCAACAGGCGTTGAGGGAAATTCATCCGCGGAAGGCAGCGACGGCAAAGAGGAACAACGAAATTATATAGATCTACTAGGCAATAAACTAGGCACAAGAATTGCAGATACAACTTCCCCGCCACCAGCAGCAACGACGACATTGTTAAAAATTAGTAAACGGGCTAATATGGTAAATGAAAGGGTGCTACGATTATCCAGTTATATGACATCTGCAAGTCAAGCGGGCTCTGTGGGTGGAGTAACTACCGTCAATTCCATCGACAGTCTAAAAAAAGGTTTGAGTTTGGCAGCAGAACCTTCATCAACAGCTTCCTCAACGTCATCCATTAGTCGAGGACCAAGTAGTGCCTCAACGAATGCTTCAATATCCACGAATGCTAGTTCGCGAACAGACTATTTTCGTTTAGAAGACTATTTGCCTGTCCGTCTGAGAACTGCTTGGGCTTCCAGTGCTTTAAGAGCTTGTCATCGTGAAAATCGTGGTATGCTTACAGCTGATGCTGAATTACATTATATACAACATGCCTGTGTAGTTCATGAATGCATTAACGCTCACACCTTTCGTATGCGCCTAGCTAAGAACGAAAATGGTCCCGGCAATTCTTGGTTTGTAGTCTATGCAAAGGGAATCAAAATATTTGGCGGTGGTGTCGGCTCTGAAAGTACCCAACAACAGATAACCTTTCTGTGGCCCAATATTACCAAACTATCTTTTGAACGCAAGAAATTCGAAATACGTTCAGGTGAAAGCAAAATCACTCTCTACGCTACTTCAGATGAAAAAAACAAAATGCTTTTGTCCCTATGCAAAGAGACTCATCAGTTTAGCATGAAAATAGCCGCCCGTTTAAAGGAAGTCATTAAAAAGGAGGAGGAAGAAAGTAATTGCCTTCATGCCTGTTACATTTATTCACGCAGCTTGCACTTGCCGCCATATAAGAACAAAAATGATCAGCGAATTTCCGTAATATCAAGCACTAGCTCCAATACAACATCAGGCATTGTAAGCGATAGGGTGCATTCGGAAGACGAGTTAGAAATTATGATTAACTCCCCCCCAGCTCCGATAGCGGCACCATCAACCGAAAGCTTGGCCTTAGCTCATCTGCTCGATAGGCCAAGTGTAAGCCGACAAACTTCATCAGTTGGTCAAGTATCATTAAAAGATCTAGAAGAGCATTTAGCAGCTTTATCCGTAAGACAAGCTCAAAAACAACGCATCAGTCATGCCGGTAACGAGTCGCCGACAGAATTGAGCAACACCTCATCAGCTGGTAATTCGTCTTCTACGAGTGGTGGATCTTTGCCTACTACGGCTTCCCAACGCAACGCTGGAGACTCTTCCACGTCAACGGAGTCGCCTAACTCGCAACACAATATAGGATCACAGTGCTCTTCAACATGTAGCACCGTAGTAGTAGCTCCTTCCACTTCGGAGAATCCCAATTCCTTAGCCACATTGGCTGCCCGAACCAGTCTTAATACCACTAATAGCAGTATCGGTCAGAGACGCAACTCCACTTCATCCAGCTTAGAGTTGGGTTTTAGTCATACAGCTCAAAACTCTACACTCAGTGAACCCGATTCAACATGTATTGATCATGACTTTATGCAAGCAACGCGTGACGAAAACGAAAGCGTCTCTGGTGTATACACACTGGCACATGGCGCCCCGCCAACTGAGACTTCGGGTGTGTATACTATGCACAGCAGTGAATTGACGGGTCAGTCTTCGGAAATGGCCGAATCGGAAAAAAGTTCCCACTATGGCATTTTCCAGCCTAGTAAAAGTGAAATAAGCGACGACCATATGCGACTTGATCATTCTAACCTTCAGGATTCTGTGGACGGAGGAAATTATCGAAATAAAGGATCCAAAGCCGAAGATTTTCGTTTACGTTCAGATTCTAATATAAGCACCAGTGGTTCCTTTCGTGGGGATGGCAGTGATCCCACGGACAATAAGCACAACTTATTATCGGCCGAAGAATTGACCGATCTAATAGTAGGTCGCGGTACTTATCCCAATCGGAAAACAGTCTCAGGCACTCTAGATTCAGATTGCGACTACGTTACATTACCCTTATCAATGACGGGAGAATCGTATTTACAGGGGCATCAAGACACAGCACCCACCGAAGATCATGTGGAAGATTTGATAAATGATTTGTTGCCTACGGATCCTCCGGCACCGCCTCAAAGGATCGATAGCAATATGCACAATTTTACCAACATACGTACGCGGTCACCGCCACCGTATAACGCGAGGCATCATAAAACCGGACTTTGTGGACCGCCCGTACGAACTACATCTACTGCAAATTCACTAACAGAAATCTCCAACAAACCTACATCGTCCCTCACAACTGTACCTACTCAAGTGCCATTGTTGTCTACATTTGCGAACGTAAAACCTTCCACAATAAAAGTTTCGTCAAAAGCCAAACCGTCAGCAACAGCATCTCTTGCGGCAGCCTTAAAATGTAGAGATCCTCCTCCATATCCTACGGCCAATAAACCTCGACCAACATCGCTAATTTCTGTAGCTCCTGCAAATGTATCGCTAAACTCAAAAACAACAAGCACAAATGCACAACTTAATACTGTTGTAGGTTCAACGGCTTCCCTTAAGTCTGAAGAAATCACAGCTAGATTTATTACAACCAGACCTCAAATTAACATCCTTAAGGCACATGCTAGTATTGTCAATGAAAATGCTAAACTCAGCTATGCGGCACCCACAAATTGTTCCTCGGCAACGTCTTCCACCGGTTCGATATGCAGTCATCATCTAACAAGTCACTTATCGCAGCACTCTCTTAACAATTCTAATTATGTTAGCGGTTCACAAACTTCCTTAACTATGGGACATCATCTTCAATCTACTCCAGCCGCGGCGGCAGCATGGGCAACAGCTGCCGCTGATATGGTTGTGGAATGTGTTGGCGTGGCTGGAGTTTTACCCGGTTCTATTGGTATACCTGTAGTGCCGTACGCTTTACATGGACCTCACAAAAGCTTGTCACCACTACATCAACAACAAAGCGAACAGATGAAGCAATCGGCTCCCCGAACTTGTGTGCTATTGCCAGTGATTAAGCCACGCCAATATTTGCCGCCACCACCACCAAGCCTGCCACGTCAACCGCCTCCTCCACCGCCTACTCAATTTGCTGGCCTTTATCCAAATCAATTAGCTCGCAAACAATTAGAGTTGTACCAACAACAACTGTGCAGTGATGTTGACTATGTAATTTATCCTTTGCAGGATCCAGCCGTTAGTCAACAGGAATATCTAGACGCGAAGCAAGGTTCCTTATTGGCTGCTATGGCTCAAAATCCCCCTCCGCACCCGCACTCCTATTTAGCAGCCTATCACCATGCCGCTGCTTCGGGAGCTTGGGAGACTTGTAAAGGGCATGCTATTTATCGTAGTACACCCTACTTGCCGCTAGCTTTGTCGACACATTCGCGATACGCTTCAACACAAAACCTTTCTGATACGTACGTACAGCTACCGAGTCCCTACTCGCCCATGTACAGTCCATCGATGGCCAGTTTATGTTCATCGTATGAGCCCCCTCCCCCACCTCCTTTACATCCGGCAGCAGCTTTAGCAGCGGCGGCTGTAACCGCTAATATTAACGCAGGCTCTGGGCCCCTCTTCGCAAGGTCGCGTTCAGATGACAATATTCTGAACTCGCTCGATTCGTTGCCGAAAGTAAAAAGACTACCGCCACCTCCACCACCTCCTTATGTAGATAGAAGATTAAAGAAACCACCAATGCCAGCACCTACTGAAAAACCACCTCCAAGTGAGTGCGAAAAAGTGAAGTTATAAGGGAGTTTAAATCGAAGTATTTTAATATCATTTTAACCTAATTTTTTAATCAGTTATTAAAGTATTCACTATCTCACAAGGTCGAAATTTTCGAAAAACAAAAAATTGTTTTTTATGTACTACGCCACTTGTCGTTAAACGGATGTATTAAGTTTGTGCGAAGCAACATCCAGGAGGACTTGAAACTCATTTTCCAAATCGATTTAAAGCACCTGTCCGTCTGTCCGTTACAGTTCCTTACGTTCAACCTACAGGCCGTCATTTTTGAGATATTTCGATGAAATTTGGTAAATCGATGTGTTTTGGTCCAACAATTTTTAATGGATCGCGAATTTGAAAGACCATATCTTTATCTCCACACGAAGCGAAAACTGGAAAATTGTAATTAGTGTATGGAAGATAAATAATTAAATTCTTTGTGAAAATTTGCCATCTTAATTTTTATCCTAAAAAAACTAAAAACCATACTTTTTCGTCATCTTAACAAAGTCGTGAAACGATTTTTCTTCGTTTATTTTTTAGTTCCCACAAAGCCAATACCAAACGTAAACAGCGTAAGTCAACGCGTAGAAATGATTACATCATCGAGAACCACTGCGTTACGAACCCATCAATTGCCCCCTCGTAAACCGATGACTTTGACAGGTAGAAACGCTGGTGGCCATATGACGAAGACATCCAGCGGCGCACAATGGGCGGGAGAGAGGCCCAAGCCAAACACGGGTCTAGGTAATAATCAAAGCAGCAGCATATTGGCCCAACTGCAAGCTTCAGCAGCGGTTGCCCATCATCGTGCACAGACTACAAAGGAATCGAACATAAACCATAGCAATGCTGGAACAGCTACTACACCAATATCAGCACCAGCCAATGAATTAGACATTGCCCTGCTAAGAGAGAAAAGTAAACATTTAGATTTACCTTTAATATCGGCCCTTTGCAATGATCGTTCTTTACTCAAGCAAACTAAGGTGCTAATAAATCCGCGGTCCACACTAAGGCAGGCTACAAATTGTTCAAACACTAATTCAACGGCTTTCACAACTGTCACCAGTGGTCTAACAACTCTAGAAACAGCTTCATCTAGTACTAGCATAAGTAAAGGCGGAAGTTTGCTAGTCAATGGCGCTGCTACCACCACATCTAATGGCAGTACAACAACAATAGTAGGAGGGACTACAATGTCACCAATGACCAACAGGAAACTATTGGCGGCTAACAGTACAGGAAAGTCACGTAAAACTTCTATTAGTCATCGTCATCCCAATGACAAGCTACCGCCATTACCCATGCAATTGGCTGAAGCTAATAACTACGTCATGGATCCAGCTATATTGAAACACCACAAGAGTTACAATTCTCATACATAAATAAATGACAACAAATACATGCTAAGGGCGGCATTCATAATATTATTATGCAATCTCGTATAATTCAATTCATTTAATATATGAAAGGTATTCGTTTTCGCTTGAAAGGTAAATTTTATTGATTAAAAAGAAAAGGCATTTGAGTGACAACTGACCAGAGAAGTTATAATGGCTTTCATCGCAGTGAGTTTTAGAATAATGATAAACTATTTTACAAACATGATTACTTCACTTTATACTAAAAGAAAAGCCAATCAATCCAGTTTTGTGGTGGAAAATTAAAATGTTCATTAACACATTGGATAAAGCAATAGCAAAAAATTTATATTTTTTATCTTTTCACAATTTCTGCGAACTTAAATAATTTAGATAAATGGGAGGGAGGGAGAAAAGTCAGTTGTTATTAAAGTCTTCTTTTTCTTCTTCTTCTTATATGCATAAATTCAAGAAATTTCTACTTGTCTTGACGATACCCAATCCTTTATTCTTTACATTTCTGATAATTTTCGAAATTTGTCTTATGTTAGTTTAAATAACAATGACACTCTTCTTTCCATAGCAAAAAAATGTTCAAGTTTTTTTCGGAAGACACTCCTATTGTATTTACGAGTAATCAGTAAAATATTCACAATCAACACCTTGATTTCAAATACCTGCTTTCTCTAAATAGAATTGAAATAATGCGATACTAATAGATGCAAGTCAAATCTAACCCGATGATGATATATATCACAAACCGATCTTAGACAATTCGACCATTGATTTTACTGCAGTCCTGTTGAACAATGTTTTTGAAAGAAAATAAACGATTATAATAGAAAGAGAGCTTCTCTTCTACCATCCAGGCCAACCTTAGACCTTTGCCTTATATGATTCTCTAGGTTGCCAATCGGCACTAAAACAACGTACATAGACCTAAACTGTGTTTTATCTACAGCAGGAATTACTTATAATCGTCCGAAATTATAAAGCAACCTTTTTAAAATCGATTTGCTGCACTTATCCTCTTGATTGGACTGTTAAACGCCTTGCTAAATTATCTATTGGTCAGATAATCGTATTGTCCTTAAAAATGAAAAAAGCGGAAAACGCAAAAACAAACTCAGGACGCACGTTCTTACCTTTGCAATAATTGCTGGAGGTTTTCTTACGAAGAGACCTTCGATAGCCTCACTGAACTCCTTTCTTTTTGAGAAAATCGGATTTCTCTTAAAATACCGAAACCAAACAGTTTTTGAATGTGATGAAGGCAACGAAGACAATGAATTTCAGAGAGATTTGGAAGAACACTTTATTTTTTTACCACAGTAGAACAACATGTAACATGACGGTCTCACAATCTTTTAATGACGTACATACCATCAAGGTAGCCTCAATAATATGCCTGTTGCAAATGAAATCTCTGCCCATTAGATAGAAAAATAAGTTCGTAGGTCTTACAAAGCCACACATAATTAGAGGTCAAGGCACATGACTTGACGCCATCTTCAAGGAAATAGGACATTTTGTTTAGGGTATAGACAAATCTAGACACATGTTTCTTTTAAGACAATAAACTGATATAGAAAACCTCGCACAACAAGGATGGTAATGCCAACTATAGATCGATTTAGGAGCAAAAAAAAAAAACAGAAAATTGTTCAGCAAATAGTTTTCGGATATTAGTGGCCGCGCTCAGTTGTTTATAGCTAGTGACTTAAAACGGCTGTCTGTATCAATTGAAAGGCACTTTTAATTACTGAACAATTTTTATTTATTTAAAAGAACTTTGTTAGACTTTTGTATAACTGACTTTTCGGCGTAAGTAAAATGATTTTCAATTTTCCTTTTCTACGCTCTTCTTCGTTTATATTTTTTCTTTATTTCTTTTTTACTTTTTTTTTTTTTTTTTTTTTTTGTAAAGGAATCCGTGTAAAGAGTAACGAAAAACCGACCATTTATTACATGTGACAGATAGGAAAAAAAACCTTAATTATAGCATTAATACTATACATTAAATAAGGTGATAAAGGAAAAAGGGAGAAAAAAACCGACAATTAAGTAAAAAGCCAGAGAAAGTAAAACTAATACTAACCTCAAATCAAACCGAAAACTTAACTAAATCTAGTCACTTTTAGGAAGCGAAAGCATAAAAGCATGGAAAACAAAAACAAAAAAAGAAAAAAAAAAAACAATCTAATAATTAACGCGCACATAAACACACAATACTCAAGTATAAAATACGGATTATTTCAAATAATTTAAAACAACTAATTTAAAAAATAACTAAATAAATAAAAAAATTTCATATATATGTACATATATATACATATATATATATATATATATATAAATATAAAGGCATAACTTGTATTATATACAAGTTCAATGTTAATACTTTTTCTAAATTTAAAAAAAAAAAACGAAAAATTCTTATTTTATTATAACATTAGGCCCACACTTAACCTCACTATTTTACCAAAACTTTCGAGGGAATGATGACGATGATAGCATTGATAACGCCGTGAAAATAAGTTCTATTATTATTATTATTTTTATTTATTTTTTTTTGTTTTTTAAAACTTTAACGCAACATTTAAGACTGTGCCTAGAAACATTTTCTTCATTTACGTATACTTAAAAGAAAAAAAAAAAAGAAAACATTTAATAATTCCGCCCGAAACAACTGTGATTGATTTTATTTTATCGTCTCGCTAATAAGTTATTTCTTTTTTTTTATTTTTATTATTATTATTTAAAACTTGCTCGATTGTTCCATTAACATTCTGTCTTTAGTTTAGCTATTAAGATCAGCACCAGAAAGTCTTGTAAGCCTTTTTCTTCTTATATATTAAAAATTTACCCAGAAAACGAGTATTCATTTCTCAAATATATTAAATACGAAATTAAATTTAATTTAAATAAATAATATCAATAATTATTTTAACAATAATTGCATAAACTTGCCCCACCGTTTAATATTTACATAAACATTTATATTGTTTTAAACATTATAAGCATAAAGAAAATGTATGTAGAATTTCCTTTTTCTTCTTTTTTTGTTGCAATTTTGTGTACATTTTTGGCAAAACAAAGCAACGCCTGAAATTTGCATAGGTTTTATTTAAGAAAATCTATGGCTAAATTGTTCAAACAGAGCGTTTCAATTGAATAAACTTTTTTTGTTTTTGCCATCATTTACAATTTTTAGAAGAAACAAAAAAAAGAAGAGAAAATAAACATTAAAAGTGAAAAAAAAATTTACCCCCAAAATATTAGGTAACCAAAAATGTGTTTGCCATCTTTTGTGCATAAGCAAAAATAAAATTTATTTTCTGCATTAGCAGCTAGCTCAAGTCGCGCGTAATATATGTAATGCTACTGATCAATATCTATACTTTTTCATCACTTTCATTAGAATGCCTTTGGGCTAATAATTATAAAGCAGAATATGGCATGAATTGAAATTCAAGAACCGTGCTCTCTTCCTCTGATTTTTTACTACAAATATTTTGGACTATTGCACTTTATAGCAAAAACGATAAAAATCTATCGGATTAAGATTGTACTGAGTACTGAATATAAATCCCATTAAATTTGTCAACAATTTGTTACAAAAAATTGATAATAAATCTTATTGTGGAGTAAATGTTTTACGTTATTAGTGCCTGAATGAATAGATAAGTTGTTGTTATAATGTTCCAATGGATTTATCCACAGTAGCTGGTAGTTGTTTAGCAATCCAAAGTTTTCATTTCGAATGTCAATTGATTAATGCAAATTGAAAAGAAAGAAGGAAACCTATTTTATATACTTTTTTTTATTAAATTTCCGAAAATTTGAGCAATAAAAATAAAAGATGGCAAATACTCTTTTAGTTATCTGATATAAGAAAGAAACAAATTTTGCATTTATTTAACTCTTTAATGTTACAAATAAATAAAATTAAAAAATATACAAAAATTTATAACGGTTAGCACAAAATGGACAACTTTTGATCATGAATAGGAAAAGAAACGTAATAGCGACTTTTACAAGTGAAAGGAAAAAATGTTAAATTATAAAAAAAAAAAATCGTATATTTTGTAAAAGTTACAAGTAAATGAATTACATCTAACGTAGCTTGAGGTTATGCTGTTATGATTTTTGTTCATAAAATTTTTACATTCAATACATTCCCTGCATATTGTTTTTGTAACCGATTAACATGATATGCGAAAATTGAACATTTTTTTTTTTTTTTTAAATGTAGGTTTTCCAAAAATAAAACTATATTAAATAAATAAATCATAATAATAAGTCACAAATTATATTCTTTCCAATTTTTATTTTCAGTTTTAAAACATTTTGATATATTTTTTTTTTTTTTTTTTTTTTTTTTAAATTATGGTAAAGGCTTATTATCCTTACTATTCTATTCTATTCTATTTAATATTTAATTGTTTTTAAAATTATACAAAAATATTCCAAGTTATCGACGTGAAAGTTAAAATATTTAAAATAAAAAAAAACTTTCTAACAAAATTTTACATAGAAATCTTAGTTTTAAGTCGTTTTCAAAATACACACATATAATCAAATAAAAATGAAAAATATTAGAAAAATATTCACATCCTTTTAAAAGAAAAATGTTTTAATATTTAAGGATTTTTGCTTTTTTTTCATTCATACAACGATCAATGAGTTTACTTCATTTTCATAGGTCATGGCCCATTAGAAATACGCAACAGTAGCTACGGGGATGGCGCTGTTTTATTAAGCCCATTTGCCTGTTTGCGGTTATCCCAATGGATGTAACTGAAGAGGTGTACGTTTTCCAAATTGTGGTTTACACTTCTGTTCAAGTGACTTTCCTTTGAAGCATAGTGAATCAATCATTTATTTTTTAGAATTCGAAGCAAAATTTTTAAAGGGACTGGTCTTATAAAAATTTTTATTTATTATAGCTTACGTTTCAGTATTTAATTCCATATATATATATGAAGGCGGCATCCCTTCAAACATATTTTCAAGAAATGATGTTACTAATATTGCCTTATACTGGTTAATACGCAGTGTTTCTACGGCAAAATTACCCAAAAAATATTCGGATCGAATGTTTTATACCCATCGCCGCTATCCTAAGAACGACTAAAAAGCAACGAAAGGGCTAAATTTCCACACTATATTATTAGCCGACTATTTTTGTTTTTTAGAGTAGGTGCGAGAATTATACCGTGCATCTGTTGTAGCATATGAGTAACGGGCAAAAAATATGGACAGCGAAGCGTTCTTAGTTGTTGTTGAGTGTGAAGTATGTAAGTGTTGTAGACGTATCCTTCGTCCAGTTTGGATCATTTTCAAATTTTTTCGCAAATTCCCTGCACACAGGGATGGACATGCTTAATTGCTTTCGGAATTTGAAACTGACCAAGGATTTATATACTTTAAGGGAATTTTCAACCTTGCTTCTGTGCATTACGTAAAGGTTGTGGAAAAAAAAATTAAATTGTTACACACTATAACATTACGCAGATGTTGCCGATTTGCTCCAATTTTGTACGCGTACTACAGCATCGCCCATAGAATGTGCGCTCAATTTTCATAGCTTGTGTGTGTAGTTTGTATGTAATGAGTGAAAAATCAATTTTTTCTTCCCTTTCGGCAACAGAGTTGTTCTCAGTTTATGTTATATTGTAGGCGTGCCAAGTTGCGTGCAGGAACTTCGAATGTTTCTATTTCTTCTTCTTCTTCTATTTTGAAGCCGATAGTTTCATTTTTGTGACCACGGGAATGTTTATAACAGAGGGACAGACGAACATGCTTAAATTGATTCAAATATTGATGCTGATCGAGAATATAATAGTTTGTAGGATCTCTGAAGTTTTCTTCAGGGCGTTGGGAACGTTTTAACAAAGCGTCCCCAAAATTCATCATCCTTTGGTGAAGGGCATAAAAATGGCATTTTCGAGAGGCGTTACATTAATTCCAAACTATCTTGCAAGTTACCGTTGCTTGCCGTTTTGTCATGAAATATAAACAGACTATGAGTCAGAATATCGATAAGTTCTCAACAACTGTTACTTCAGACAGTTGTTGTTTTTTGTTTGGCGCGATAAATATAGTGCAGTACATTACGTGATTATCACTAGGTAAAGTGCTTCGACTAACCCGAGCAATAAGTGTGGAAGGAGCGCTATATTCATATGCCCATCGTTGTCTGTCTGAACAGCACTTGTTTCACGCGATAGCTTGACATTCTTCTGACTTTACTTAGGAAGTGCAATCTTTCGTGGGTACTCCTAAAAGAGGCTTTTTCAAAACAGAACCGGTTAACCATATTTTCATGGATTACTTTAAAAACATCCTTTTCAATACAAACGCTTTTTCCATAACCAAAAAAGACAACAGGGAAGCCGTTCTTCAAATTAATTCAACTTCCATTTTTTAAGGAAAGTATGTCTCTGTTTTGCAGACGGCAACAGGACGTGATTACTTAATCATTGCTAGCTTTTTGAAAATTCCGAAGGGCATCCATATAGAAATACAATACGAACTCAAGGAAGAGATGAAAAGTAAAATTTTTTATCATTTTCTTTAAGTCAAAAGTAGAATTTTGTATTATTTTGTTGAAATATGGGAGAACTATTTCGTCGACGATATGAATTTCGTTGACAATTTGCTTGATCAGACGGAAAATTTCAAAATTTAATTTATGAGTTAATGACTTCTATTTGGCGCAATCACAAATTTGTGAGTGCTTCTTAGACCTAAATGTATTCACGTTTTAATTTTTTAAAGATTTGAAACCAATTTGAATTATTTTAGTAGTAGCCTTCCCTACTAACCATCACATACGAGGCACGTTCAAAAAAAGATGATTTTTCATATTTTGTTGGCTATGTACATTGGATTTTCGTTTATTTTATTTATTTATTTTTTTTTTAAGTTGGTACACATGAGCCACACCCCGAGAAGAGCTTTTAGCTATACCAAAAAATGCTTCAAGAATTGGAAAAATCGTTGGCACAAGTATATTACATCTAGTGGACGTTGCTTTGAAGGAGACAAAATAGATATTGATGACTAAATCGATGTTTTTCGAGAAAACATTAACGTATCATTCATTTGAACATATCCCATATATGTAATACAACGGTTTGTTACCATAGCCCAACCTCACGTGGATGTGACAGACGCTTATGGACAATTTACATATGCAAAGGGCAAATAAAGCAAAATATTTTGATGGCTCTCCTTTTCAAAGGTTAAGAAAGACACAATGACACAATCACAGTTGACAGAGGACTAACTGAGTCCTCATCCATATATTGTGAAACCAAATACTCGTTTGTTTCGGTGACCTATAGTGGGTAAATGCGCACCATTGATTCTCCCTACCTGCATCAGAAGTTATTTATGACGCGATCTAATAAACGAATTCCTTCTTTTCTGTTGATAATTGGAAAAAAAAAGATTTTAAGCAAACTTTATTTATTATAAACAAAAACATTTAATGTTTTTTTTATTTTATCACATATCAAGAAGATTTTCAACGTTTTGGTAATAAATACAAATTAAAGTACCAAGGAAATAATTTATATTAAAAAAAAAAAAAACAAATTTCACTTAAGATGGCTGCTTGTACAGATACATTTTGGAACAAAACAATGGTGCCAGTGGGATAAAGTAATGAAATGAAAAACTAATTACTAATAATAATATAATTAATGAAAAATGATTTTGAATATAAAAAGTGAACAAAGACATTCTTAAAATATTATCGATATAATAGCGTATCGATTATTGCGTATTCACGGCATTATCGGCATTATCGGTTAAAATGGTTTCATCATCGTCTGGTATATGCTTCCATTTTTTCATAATAGTGAGAACAATACCAATAATTGAGAGTATAACGGCTAAGCAAATAAGAACTACCCCACCAATAACGCCGTACGAGTCAAGATTAACAGCCAACTGGAATGGAAATATAATTTTTAGTATTAGATATGTTTTTCTTAAATATTTTCTTCTTTTTTTCGGTTTTACTTTGGCTTTGCTGGCTAATTTCTCATCAAGTGTAGCAATTTCTTCGAACCAAAACATGGGCATCAAAAAATGTTGAACCCCACGATAAACACTGAAAGTAAAGTGTACATTTTTTAACTTAATGTTTTTTCATTGTTTTCACATTCGTCTTACTCAAAAGTATCATCCGGTGTTATCATCATATTAATTTGGATACGTGCTTTGACCTCTACCGGTATGCCTGTATTGGGCTCGATAGCCAATGTGAATTTATGTTTTTCAGGATCTGGTTTCATACCGGTCACCGCATTCGCGTAGAACTCATCAGCCAAATAAAAGTGAGGAAAAGATGCATAAATTGGTGCATTATGAAGGCATTTCTTGCAGTCCGCCACACCTCCTCTGGGGCATTCATCGATGCTCGCATCACAAAAACACTCCTGTTCGGGATAATATGCCCCAGAATCTAAAGTTGCATTTGTCCCCTCCCACGTGATTGCTTGTAAGCCGTACAGTTCGGTGGAGCCATTTCGTTTGAAATTCAAATAACGGCAAACATCTGTGATAAATACAGTTAACGACTCCTCGCTATCTAATTGCGGTGGGAACAAATCACCCGGAGTTCCTTTAATAGTATTACATGGTGATGAATAGAAATCACTCGTATTTTTGCCATTCCAATGCATTAATTGGCCCAAATTGTGAATGTTATCGACACCAGTGTGTATAGTGAAAAGTCCATCGTAGTCTAGGGATGCGTTGCGCTCGACCATCCAACCGAATCGCTTATAAGGTATATTAATTTTTGATGTATTAAATAGACTTAGAAAATCTATTAACTCGTCTTGGAAACCATCAAATATCCATTCCTTTACAGGTCTAGTGACATATAAATTTCCGCCCTCATGATTTAACATAAAATTTAGAACCTTTTTAATAATTTTACTTTTATTACGCATTTGATCCGCTACCGTCTAAATAACAAACGCAACATATTGCAATAGAATAGAAAGGAGAATTTAAATTTAAAGTATTATAGTATACCGCTGTTATGGGATGGGCAGTTGTTATCATATCCTCCAAGGTCCCGTTTGATTTCTCGGGAACAAAAAACCATGTACGTCTTTGATAGTATGAAACGGTATCATTGGAATAAAACGAAACATTTTCTTTCGAGTGTTTCTCTAGGAAAACATAAGGTCCCATTTCAACAAAATTTGGTTTAATATTCGCTTTTGTAATATCTTCCGGGTTAGTCCAATTAAATAAATAGAATACGAGATAAATGGGTATAGGTGCTTCTACCCAAGACTTGTAATTATCTGTGCCCACTTTAATGAGTAAATTCTGCGAGAGAAAAGTGAAGTACATTTCTTAAAAGACGATTTCTTAAAGAATTTTAAAGCTCGTACTTACGTTATGCACTAAAGAGACACTCCATTCCGGCCACATTACTACAAGTAATATACCGAAAATAGCGAGTATTGCGGCCGAGCTGAAAACCCAAACTTTTCTTTGGGTAACGCTACAACATTCACAGCACATGACGAAAAGGCTGAGTGGTTTTATTGACAGAATGTAAACGATAAAACGGAATGTCTTCGATTGACTTTAAGTATAAATTCGTTGGTTAATTTCATAAATGATTTGCAATAATTTCTTTACGGGAGCATTTCCTGAAAATTTACACAACAACGTAGACGAAAATTAAATGAAATATTTTCAGTCATTTGTTTGATATCTAAAATTCAAATTTAAATCACTTTAATTCGAAATTTTCGTATATATCGCACTTATGTTCAGTCTTTAGAGCCATTAGAATCATTGCGAATCACTTTTTGAATGGATTTAAGCTTGTCTGTCCGTCCAGTTTTGTTGAGTTTAACGCACAGACCGCAATTTATGAGAAATTTTGATGAAATTTCACACACCAACATGTTTTGGCTTAAGGACGAGCGTTTTTGAAAGTGATTCAGATCGACTTCTCCCCGTATAAAGCCTTTTTTTGCAAAGTCATTATGTGAATAAATAAATTAAATGAAGTGACGTAGGGTATTTAATAGTGAGCCATAACCCGCCTAGTGTTTTCACTTGTTTTCAACGTAAGGTTGAAATGGGCGAGCGGGCGAATTTTGAACTCATTAAGATATACCTTTGGGACCCTTTGAATACTTAAAACCCAATCCCTACTGACAATGCTGCTACTAGCAGCCCTTTCTCCAGAAAATTTTGTAATGTAACGCAAAATACACTCAAGGGCTGCCGGCATTTTGCGGCAGATTGGAAAAATTTGATGTCTTTGAGCGGGGACCTCGAAAGTTCAAATACCCGATTCACATCTAGTTCGTAATTTGCACAAAAGATGAGAAAAAGTAATTGGTATTGTTGGACGATACATTGAACCGAATGACTCGTGACATTTTTTTCCAATACCCCTTCAGCAGTCACTTATTCATACATCCAATATATAGTTACTTCATGAGCATAAAATTCGGGTAATAATCATGAAATGTCAAATCTTCATAGATCGGTATAATTTTTATGAAATATTGCATGCACATGTATGAAATCAGAAGCAAAAACTGATATAGATATATATATATATTGATATAACGATTAATGCAATAAATGTTTTATTCCGCATTGCTTAAGCGATACGTTTTCAACCGCGAATGGTTGATAAAATATTTTAAATGATTATATTAATATCTAGCCTTGATTTGGAAAATAATCGCAAATCTTCGCTTTCGTGTTATAAATTCATGTAGTAAACAGACGCAGGGCTAGAGGTGTGTCCTAAAGATTACAAGTAATGTTAATTGTTAGTTAACGATCTAATGATCGATAGCATGATTCGAACTATCAAGCGTTCAGTTTTTTCAATTGTAAAATGAATCAATTTATTGAATTACAGTGAGGAGATCAAATCACTTCGATTTTTTATGAATACCTCGATTAAATTGAAATGATTTGACATTATTTATAATACAACAATTATTATCGCGATTAACTTGGCTTGCGTTCTTTGCAAAAAATAAGTTGCTTTACGCAATTACCCGAATTTTGTACGGAAGGAGAAAATCACGTCACCCTAAACGTTTTCGAAAGAAAGGCAACTTTAACTAAAAGTGAATTGAATGCTTTACAAATATATATATTAAAAAAAAAAAAAAAAAACAACAAAATATTTGATAACAATATGTTATTGATTAGTTAAGCGGGAAACATAACACGCGCCTTAAAGTACGGTAAAGATTGATATATGCAAAAATTTCGAAGTTTATTATCAGTCGCTGGATGAAATATTCATTTCGTCATAGTATTCATAACACTTGATCTTAAAGTATTCGTAAGGAACTAGTGGGTCTTCCTGAATGCTTGTGCATTATAGGAAAGCGTGTAGGCCCCGTGAACTCGATAATAAAACAGTTCGCTTTCGATTGACTTTTATACCTTATAACATTTGTGGCACAAGGGTTCATTAACGCTAGATTTAAAGAAATTCATCAATTTGACGGATCGCAAAACTGAAAATAGAAAGCTGAAGTTTGGCATAAACATTCCTTGATAGATTAAGGGTACTAGATCAAGAAAGGAACGGGCTCTGTTGGTAGATAAATCTACAATGCAAGAGAAAGCACCGAAAACACACGACAATTTTTATGGATATTTTCGTTTACAACTTTCGATTTCATGGAGATATTTTCAAGGATCTCGGCGCAGAAAAGCAACGAAAAAAAATAACAAAAACTGGAAATACGGGATTAGTAGTCAGTGTATAGACAAGCAAAATTAAAGTGGAAATTCTATTGTTATTATAAATTTGGCCAAAGATTAAATTTTAAGCCTAAAGTCTTAACGCACCAGCGTCTAATGCTGTCGGCTTTATTAAAAAACTCTACGACATTTGAGATTTGAACCCACGATCATTGGAAATTATAAACTGTCGAACTGCCTATTAAGAAAAGAAGAGTTGAACAATTTAAATAAACAATTTAATTCAATTTATTAAACTTTTTGACCCAAATCGGACAATCCGTTCGTTTATGCGTTTAAAACTAAATGTTTCGATTTTCTTCCATGCGACTTTCTGATAACTTGCGCTAGAATTTGAAACGAACAGTAACAATTTAATATCAACAAATAAATAAAAATTGCTTATATAGTTGACTATGCATTGCATTTATACTCCTAATTAACAAAAATTTGAGAATCTTAAATTTGTAAAGACAATTAAGAAACTTATATTCGAAGAATGTTAAATACCCATACTCTACAATAATGAGTGGGCGCATTCGGTTTTTCTCATGTTTATACTGGTACTGCAGGATCGCTAGCAGAATACACAAGTTATTTTTGACAATGAACAAAAACCACATTTCTATGCCTTTGAAGAAGTGAGATGTATCTTCACTTTACGTGACACTGTTGACTTATCACTGATTTTCATTACCAGCCAAACTTAAGGGTGATAGCTTTCTGTTTTCGCCTAGGAAAATGCTTACAATACATATTACACAGACGGACCGGTGGACTTGGTTAAATCGATTCTTAATTTGATGCTGATCAAGAATATATATACTCTGTGGGATCTCTGAAGCTTTTTTCGGTTTGTTGAATATATCCCTTGTCCTTCGGTGATGGCTACAAAAGTACGTTGAAAATTTCAATCGGATGGAATTGTTTCCGGACAGCCCGTAAATATAAATCAAAAAAAAAAAAAACTCCAATTCTTAGTGTTTTATAATGAAAAGCGAGTCAAAGATTTTCTGTATTTACTTTGGATCATTAAGGTCTATTTTTCGCACTCCTTCCCATATAACGTTATATAGTTCTTTGTAAGATAACAATGGAAGCGGGTGAAGAATTGTATTTGAAAAAATGCTTTAGAATGTTTAACAGTCGGCATACTAAGTCCACTATAACGTAAATACTTGTTTTTTTTTTTCAAATAATTACTTTAAAATATCGAGATATGTGTGAGGGATGATCATAGTAAATTTTACTAATGTATAGATTGTGTCGAAAAAATAATTAATCATGAAATTTATACCTAACACGAACCTAATATGACACAGATTACAGGTAATGCATGTCGCAGTAAATACTTTTGAATAGATTAAACTGAGCCTATTGCAATTCGGATCAGATAAAAACAACTTATTCTACAACAGATCTGACTAAAGTTATGCGTAACTGTTTTTGGCAATAGTGGGGTTTCTGAATTCGTTGCACATTCGAGTTCAGCAAAGCCTAAAAATCTTTTCTCAATTGCATATTAATTGGTTTGTCATGTAAATTTTTGCTTATAACGAAATGCGATATCGTCTTCTCTTTGTTTGTCGTTTTGTTTACAAAATTGTGATTCTTAAGCAATTTCTCCTTTTTTTTTTTTTTGTTATTATTAAAACGTTTAAACCGTCGTTTTCTTGTTTGTTTGTTTATGAAAGATCCAAAAAAAAAAATAAAACAAATAAAATAAAGAATTCACACGGAAGAGCAATTAACTTAACCGATTTGTTGCGGGCTTTTTTAGGTTGCCAAAGTTTATATTTCACTGTTAATTTTAAAACCACTTTCATAACGAAACAAAAGCAAATATCAATTTTTTAATAAATAAATCCTTAAAATATTAAGTCCATATACAAATAGAATAGAAAACAATGAAAGACAAATATATAAGAATCCAACATTTATTTACATACTTTTATAACATCTTCGAATCTGTTTAAAATTTAAAAAAAATGTTTACCGAACGATACGAAGCTCGTAAGTAGACTGATCGCAGAACGTTTAAAGTACTTATCGCTCAGAAGTGTGTTTTTGTTAAACATATTTTATACCAAGTAGTGGCTTATCTTCTTTATAAAAGTATTTGTACTTTATCATAAGAGAAAGTTTGTGCATACTTTATATTAACTAGGGTAAGCGTCCGATCTTAGGCACTCTAAAAATTTGCATTTATGTAACCAAGGGGATCCGTATACGAATTTCATCATTATTCTTACAATGTCCAGAAAGTCGCATCTAAAAAACTAAAAAGAGGTATGTACCTAATTGCTAAGCATTTTACACTTTTTCTAATCGAATTCATCCAGGAGGTCTGTACGTTCATTTCCTGTCCATATTTATTATCCTATTATATCTTACACCGTATCTTTTGGATATATAAAACACTTTGAAGAACTTGTAATAGACCCATTGCTTTTATTATACCGATCGAATTATGGTTGTCAGTCCGTCAGTCCATCTTGTATTCTTCTTCTAACCTACAGCTATTTTTGACAGCGGCGAACGCTATTCACATTGGACCACATTGATGCCTCATTTTGAAAAGTTTTTGTATGAGCAACTGTATTAAGCGAAATGGTATAGGGTATTTAATATTGGGCCGTGGCTTTAGTATTTTTACTTGTTTAATATTTCGGTAATTTGCGAGATTTTAACTGATTGCACACTTCACATGATGGGGGTGATGATATATTTTCTCTTAAGGAAAAAACAACGCTCGTTTACTAAGGTTTCAATAGACAGGCAAATACTACCGTATAAGTCGAATTTGCTATTCACGCTGATCGTACTGCATGGGTTCTCCGATAGACATTTGTATGGATTACAAGCATTCGCCATATCTTGGTGTATATAAAAAATGCCTGTCGTAATATCTACACAGCAACAGAAATTTTTCGTCACTATACCACGTATTTAAAATGTTCATTAGTTCAATGAATGTCTCTCTAACATTTATTAAATATAAGCGATAAGTGATCTTAAACTTTCTTCAACTGTTAACTTAAACGTATTCTTAAGCCTCCTCTACAACTATCTAAGAGGTCTTGAAAAATTGTGGGAAACGATGTACTATACATAAATGAATCAAATCAATCTCCAGTTTATTTTGCAATCAAACATCGCAGCCAAGTGGCTATCAAATTATTCCAATTAAGCCATATATATGCAGTTTCTTCTTTGTATTGTAAGTGTCCAAAATTTGGACTAATGCTTACGTAAATTCATGTTTGAACAACTGTACTCCAAAACTGTGTCCAACTATTTTCTTAGATAAGTCACTGCAATATTAAGTAAAAATTAATTTTAAGTCTATTCGGTGTATACATTTGATTATGAAATTACTGAAAAAGTATTTAATATATATAAAGGCTTTGTTATAATCTGAATAAAAGGTTAAAAAACACTTAATGCAATTTGTTATCATACGCAATGAATTTTATTGAGTCATTTAAGAAGATAAGTCGGTTTAAGTACAAGTCTTAAAATGAGCTTAAGGTTCGATGAGTAATTTTCTTATTTAAGAAAATCATTGTTTTGTTCATAGCAAGCAACGAAAGATTAGCAAACGGATATATGAATGAAACTTGGGAAGAGAGGGAAACTAGTTTTAATATTATATACCATGACAACAACTGTTAAGACTTTAACATATAATTAAATAAAACATCCAAATCTAAAGTAACCAACTTACTTACCGTATTATATAAGCGAAAAAAACAAGCAGTCTACTTAAATATAAGATTATTGGTAATAACCTTGACTTATTCGCCGATACAGATGGTAACCTAAATTCTTGTTGTTGCGTGTTTTGCTAGAAAAGTTACGTTTTAAAATTATTCATTATTTAACAACTTAGCACTAACGGATTAATACTTTGTACGGTAATTAGGCAAAAAAAGGCACTTTGCACTACTCAAGAATGACTTTATTATTAAACATTTCTTTCAATAATTTCAAGTTTTTCTTAGCAATAATCACTTAATTTAACAATCGCTGTAACCGCTGAATATCTATGCCCGCCCGATTTACTTCACAGAATAAAAAAAAAATGACAATATTATAATGAAACACATCTGTAATTATACAACCGAAACAGCTGATTCTTAAACATACGTTTATTTTTCACTAAAAAATGTGTGAAACGTTTACTGAGAATAGAACTCAATTTATGGGAGTAAAATTTACTTTGCAGTGCTTTTCTTATGGGTGCCAAAAAACTGCTGCTGAGAATAAAATTCTTTTTCTCAGAAAAAAAAGACATTCTTCGCATCGTCTTAGCAAAAATCTACGTACAGGATCAGCTGCTGTCTATTGTATATGTATACGAAAGCTTTTAGATATAAAATGTACGCACGAAATCGTAAGTGCTGTCAAATTTTAAATATTTGAGAATTAATTAAAAATAAAGACAAATATGAAAACATAACCTTAAAAAACCCTTTTTTTAAATTATTTGATTGGCAAATTTTAAAATAGTCGGTAGTAAAATGATGGGTTTGTTCTTTAAAATTACACAATTATACGATCTTAATTATAGAAAGTGCTTAATTATTTTTCTGCAACACAATTTCAGTCATGTCCCAGTAAAGACATACATACAAACGAAACCTCAATCTCCGTACCTTCCTTTCACTTGAATTTTACAATTTGTCACGCTTATATGTCCAGATTGTTAATATGTAACTCCTGTGTGAGATTTTGTCCTATTAAATATTATTATGGCACGATTTTTATTACTTTTACGTTTTCCTTTCAGTTTTATTTTTATTTTCTTGCAAGTTTTTCGTATGACAAATTTTATTTAAAATTTATCTTTCTTCACATACTTCAGAAATATTAATTTACGAATGGGAAGTTTCTGTATATTTATACATCGACAATGCTTTAAGTTTTACTAAAAACTTTTCTAAATTTGCACGTTTTATATTTGTGTCTCTTTCAAAAATATTCTAAAATTTTTTAATGATACTTTTAAATAATTTCGAAAGCTAAAATAGGGCATAAAGTGGAGAATCTCTTGACGGACTATTCCAAGCTAAAGAAACGTTCTTTATAACAAGAATTGTCGCAAATAATCGCTTGGAGGAAACTGATCCACATTACATATAAAATTTATACTAAAGTCTTCATGCATGTCAGCATTGAGCTACAGATCTTCGCGTAGGCAATTTTAAGATACTTTTCACAGTCCATTGTAAATACGATTCGCTGAGTTTTGCCCTAAGATGCTTTTGATTTCTGTAAAATATTCACATGTTAGATAACTTTGCTTTCTTCTTGTTAGATGTTGAAATACGTACGTTCTTTTTCCATCTCATTCAAGCTTTTCTTAGGAAAATCTACATCAAATGTTATGTGTAAGTTTCCGTGTAAGTTGTTGTTCTCATAGTTGGGCATTCCTTCGCCTTTTTTAACTATGCGTGCCCCAGGCCAGGTAATCTTTTCTCTAGTTACGGTAACCTTGTGACCGTCTAAGTGAGTTACATCCATTGTAAATCCAACTAGAGCGTCCTAAAGGAATAGTTAACTAAGTATCTATCAAATTGATTCAATTGAGGGAAGTGATTACCTGTAAACTTATAGTAACGTTAGTATAAAGATCATCACCTTTACGATGAAAACGTTGGTGGGGTGTTTGCAAAATTTTTATTATTAAGTCGCCGGGGTCACCATCCATATGCGGTTCACCTTCCGCTACAAAACGCGTCTCTTGCCCATCAATCATACCAGCCTCAATTTCAATTTCGAGTGTCCTCTCCTCATTAACCAACATTACATTAGGACACTCGTCGCACACTGTTTGTTGTATCATTTGAAAGCGTCCCGGTCCTAAATTACGAGTAACCATTTCTTGTCGGCAATTACATTTACGTGTACCGGACGCTGGTTTTAAAACCGGTTTATTTCTAACAATTTCCACGAAATTACCCGAATATAATTCTTCCAAAGTAACGTACATATTCATAACGATGTTAGCACCTTTAGGTGTATCGTGTTGTTGGTGGTCTCCATTGCCAAAATGAAAACCAAAATCACCGAAGAAACTGGCAAACGGATCGGCATTCTAAATTGAATAGAATCTAAAATTAATATTCATATTAAGGTGTAGCTTAGTTTAAAAACATAAAATCAACTAAACATTTTTGCATTTACAGAGAAGCTAATATCCTTACATTATCGGCACCATCTTTTTTTACACATTCTTCGCCACAACGATCATAATTTTTACGTTTATCAGGATCGGACAAGACTTCGTAAGCAGCTCCTAAGTCTTGAAACTTGACAGAGGCATCCGGATCATGTTTGTTCTTATCAGGATGTAATTCTTTAGCCAATTTTCTATATGCTTTCTTGATTTCATTGGTTGAGGCGCCTTTTCGTATATTCAGTATTTTATAAAAGTCTCTACCAGCCAAAGCCGTTTCGAATAGACAGACGATAATTTGTACAATAATAATTAATAGTAAGAACTTCATTTTTTTATTGGCGTCGATTATGGGCACGTTTCGAATGTGGTTTTTTTTTTTTGCCTTCAAAAAGTTTTGAAAGATTATCTACAATTTTTTTAATATATCATTTAGAAGAGATAATGAAACTGAATATTATACTTTTCTTTTATAAAATTGATTGTAAGCGTGTTTAGCTTTGATTGGTTAACTTCTTCTTCTGCTTTTCTTCATACATCAAACAATCACTGTCAATAGGTAACTTCCAATGAAATGCAACAGCTGTTCAGAAAATAAATTATAATTTCCCCCTGACTTACAACTTCATATATACGGCTTTTTTTAAATCTACCGTTATATTCTACTCTCTTTTTAACTTTTGAGAGAGCGAATCTGAAGTCGTGAATATTTTATAAACAAAAAATAATCTCTGCGCACTGTTAGCAACATTTTGTTTGCTTTGTGTTTTTATTTACATGTCTTTTTGAGAGTAAAATTTTGCTTTGCTGCATCTTCTTATCAAGGTCTTTTCGAGAGTAAAAAAAAAGGGAAATTATTTGATATCATTATTTTTCATATCCCGGTTTCATCAGTAGGTAAAGGAAATAAAGGAAGTAAAGGAATTTTCACATCGTTATAGACGTTATACACATTTAGTGAAATGAAATAAAGTTTGCTTTTTTATTTCATTATATCAATACATAAAAAAACAGGATATTAAAACCAATTTAAACTAAGCAAAAATTTCAATAGCAATTCATTTATTGAGAGGATAGACAAAAGCGAATAAGATTATTGTTGGTATTTAATTTTCTTAGAAGAATTTATAGTGTTAACATTATCAAAAAAACTTTTGTAAAAAAATTATTATGTATGGATTCTAAAATTGTTAATATAGAGGTATGTAAAAGAAATAATTGTTCTTTCCGTTAATTTTTATAATTTTATGTATAGAATTTTTTTTTTATTTTTCCCTTTCTTTATACTTAACGTGCATGTTATCGATTTTTCTTTGCTCTGCATACGTTCCCACTCTGAAATTGTGTTAAGCATGTATGCGTATGCGTGACTGTGTGTTTGTCTCATATATTTTTGCTTATTGGTCAAATACCGTATACTGTTTTTGTTATTCTCTACCCATTGACCCTAAAATGTAAAAAATTACAGTTCATGTGTGCTATTGATCATTTAGTACACGGCATGTTGCAAGTCACAAGTCAGTCACATGGTGTTTCCGCGTTTTGAGGACAATTGCATGTTTTTAACTATCATATACGCTACGCCATTCTAATATGCGTTTTTTCCTTTATTTTTTTTGCAATTCGTCTATAAATTAGCATTGCGTTAAAGTGTTAGCATGTCAGCAATTGCGGTGTTTGACACATTTCCCATTCCTTTTTCTTTTTTTTTAGATGAAACTTTTGCCTTTTCATGGCTAGGAACTTTCACCCTTTTTATTTCTTTTTTTAATATGCACGTATGTACATGTGCATGCCTTGTCGTTAGCTTGTATTGTGATTTCCGGCATTTAAATATCACTGACAAATTTATTAGCACCTCGTATCCGTTTGTTCCGTTTGTACATTTATGTGTGTGACAATTTAATTTTAAAGAATTAAATTGACTTTTTGCTTTTATTTATATATACACATATTTATATATATATATATGTATTTTGCAGATTTTAGTTATCTATTTTTTATTACTGATCCCTTGGCCTCAAACCCAAGTTATAAAATTTTTATGCTCCAAAGATAGCAGTCGTTTAGTACGCAAGATAGTTCGTTCAAAATGGACTCCAATTTTAGATAAATATCAGGTTTGTATAAGAGAACATTGTTTTTGTAAACGATTATGAAAATTTTTAAAGGACATTTTTAAATTATAGGTTAAGCTTCCTTTGGAATGTCCTTTGCATCCCTTACGCGATCTATTTGCACCGCGACAAGATGCCAAAAAACGTGATAGACCCACACAGTGGACGTGTCGTTTGTGTGGCAAAAGTTTCTATCAAGAGAAATTTTTGGATTTACACTTTGAGAGCCGACATAAAACAACGATAAATGAGGTAAAGAAAAAAATTTACATTCGCGTCGGCTGCTCACTCACCACACTATGCACATGCCATTTCCAAAATTTTCAAAAAAATGTTTCCCTTTAACTTTAGAAGCATTTGTTTCCATCAAACCTTAATTTCTTTTTTTTTTTTTATAACGCATGAGGAATGTTATAATTAATTTTTGGTTAATTTTTTTTTAAATGCAAGAAATACTCTTGAGAGCCTACAACACTTGTGATAAAAGATTTCACTAAGTTTGTGGGGATGTATGCAAGTCCCAGAGGGACTGAAGATAGGCCCAACTTTTAGCATACCAATCGGTTGCGAATCACTTTCTGGGTCATTCTTTGGAACGATTTATGCTTTTCTCTACGTCTGTCCGTCTAATTTTCTTGTGCTTGACCTACAGGTCGCAATTTCTGAGATATGTTGATAGAACTTGGTACATCGACATCTTTTTGAGTTAAGGAAGAACGCTATTGCAAACGGTTCGAATGAGACCACTTTTTCGACTACTTCCCATAGAAAGCCTAGTTTTGAAAGGTCGTTATACGAATACTTGCAGTATGATGTAGGATATTTAATGATACGCGGTAGCTCGTTAAAGGGTTTTGTTTTTTGTGTTAATTAACTTATTTTCTGGATTAAATCTTATTAATATTTATATCTAGGAAATTTTTACGTATAATCTTTTTAAAATATCCTGGCAGGTGCTAAGTATCTCGATTTGTATCAAAATATTAATCTGAGCTATGGATCAATTCAATCTAATCTACAATACAACAGACGATTACCTTTTTATATCCACCGTAAGTGGATGAGGGTATATTCATATTTTGTGTCGAAGCGTTTGCAAGACCTTGAGTTCAAGCTTTAAAAACTCTTTAACTTTTTATGTACACACATGTATATATTCCTACCAAATTTTGAATCGATCTAAGCATGTCTTTCGCTATAAGGTCTGTGTCGAAAGTACTCTTACTCCAAGTCCAAGCAAGGCGGTATTGAAAACGGACCAAATCAGTCAAAGGACACAGTTACGTTTCCAAAAGTGAAAAATTGTGGTTTCTGCTTACGGGTCTTAAACTGCAACAGACACAACGATAAAAATTTCCTCATTTATTCTATACACTGTCGGACCTCAAAAGTAGGTGAAACACAAGAGACAAGACAGACAGACACGCTTACTTCGATTTGGAAAGTGATCTTGAATCGATTGGTATGATAAAGGCGGATGTACCTCAAGTCCTTCTGGACTGCATACATTCGCACAGGACTTAATATTCCCCTTGTTCCATAAATAATGTAGGGTTTAAAATCTACCTTAGATTATTTATATGCAAACGTTAAAATTCAAAATCAAAAATGTTTTTTTAATTTTTTTTCAAGGCTGAAGATGCCGTTTGTTTGGCGGAATTTTGCGATATAATGCGTTGCGAGGTTTTTCAGACAGAAGAGTCGTCTAGCTTGAAAGTAGGCGATCAGCACATAAGCACTGACATAGAAGTATGGGGCGATTCATTTGGTCAAAATTCAGCATTAGCTAAAGCGAATCTAGCCTATTTAAGTATATTACCATTAAGGTTAGATTTATTCTAAGAGGAAACAAAAAAAAAAAAAGCAATCAAAACTAATATTAAGTAAATTATAGAACTTCCTCCATTGGTGCGTCACGAGCGGCTAGAGTACAAAATCGTCAATTATGTCAGGAACAAATTGGCCAAAAAAAATTTCAACAGACTGGTAAGTAATTCTAAAGAATAAAATAAAGCTTTAACTATTCTTTGGCATTTACAGATAATCAGAACACCAACGAGAATTCATTTGTATATAACGGAAAACCATCGCAGCAAAGACACTATCCGACTGATAGTATGACGTCTTCAGCTACATCTCATAAGCATTCTACTGCAGCGACAAAAACAATTAGGAAAAATCACTCTGAGTCACCGGATAGCGGTGCGAAAAATTCGAACCCGGGAAAAGGAAATAACGATAGTTCCGAAGCCTTTAACAATACGGGAGAAGATAATAACCAAACTCTCAATGATGAAGTGAACGGTATGCAAAAAGTTAGAGCTGATTGTAAAGTGGAAGAACTAAGTGAATTGAGAACGAAATGTGAATATCTGGTAAGAAGTTGTATCGGTGGTCTTATTTTACAAATGATCGATCAATCATTTAAGGAAATGGAAGGTTAGTACCTTGAAAATTTGTTTATGTTTTCTTTTTTTGCTTTTGTTTATTATTGCAATCTGCAGATGAAATGAATAAAGCAGTTTGTTGGTATTTAACTTGTGAGCGTTATTGGGAGGATGGACCCTTAGAACCACGTGCCTTTCCTTGGGGTCTAATACTTATTTTAGTATTCGTTTTATCCACGGGAATTTGTTTTTGTTACTACATTATATGGATATTATTTGAGTAAGTTATTGCAGATTTATTGTGGTTTTGTTTTTTAAGAAAATCTTTATCAAAACCAAGTTATTTGTTTCAGTTCCGAAGAGACGACAATCAATGCCGCCAATCATCAGCAAGTATACCTCAGCAGCACCTACCCACCACAGCCACCGCCGCAGAGCGCACAACCCCACACGCAAGAACTATACCATTACCAAGAGTTTCCCACTACAGGCATTCATCATGGTATGACGAGCGACGGGCCTCCGAACACTACCCAATTCTACTATCAACAGCAGCAACAACAAACACAGGCACAGATGGGGCACGATATATACCCCGAACCAGTGCTATACGATTATCGCCACAGTCCTCGACGTTACATAGGCGATCAGCGTCGGCCGGGTACCCCTACGGTTACAATGTCGGCCGGCGTAGGCGTTGGACAGACACCGCTGCGTCATCAGCCGACCACGAGCCTGGCGTACCAACAGGACATTTTAGACCGACGCGACTATATAAATAGACCTATAGCTACCACTGCTGTAACCAGTGTTAATAGCGTTACAAATATAGGACCAAATGCAGCATCTCTAGCTACGCATCATCACTCGCAACAATTGGACTGTGATAGCTCATTGTTGGCTGGTATTAGTGGTGCTACCGCAGCAGGAGGTGTAAAACATTATAATACTATACCTCGCCCCCTGGAATCACGTCAACGTTATGTAAGCGGTTCACAACAATCATTACGCGCCTCCTCGTCCACACACGAGATCATACAAAATGAAGTTGGGCACAATGAACACTACATTTATGTAACCTATCCGCCGGATTTAAAAAAATGTTTCTTTGAAAAATATGAATGAGTTTAAATTATTATGTTTTTCATATTTAAAAAAATTATGTTTCTCTAAGAACACAAATATATTTGTAAAACACAAAAAAAAAAAAAAAAAATATTCTAATATAAACCAAAGATTATCATTGGCAAGAAATATAAAATGAAAGTCCTAAACACTCGTATATGAATGAATCGAATCTTTGTTGGTAGATACTGCAGAGCAATTTTTCTTATTTTCCTACTTTTTCTCACGTTATCTCGCTCCCCTGTTTTTCTATAGCAATACAATTAATAAGAACTTAAAAATATTAGAGCCAAAGTAACTTGAAGCTTGTATTAATAATCTCATTAAGAGCAGAAATTTGTACTTAAGATGTCAAAGAATGGAAAAACATTTTTTTTAAATAAAAGTTTATTGAGAAAAAGACAAAATAAAAAAGCTTTTATTCTTCAACGGTGTTGAACATAAATTATATGCACTGATCTGAGATGTTTTGAATTGCAGCAACTAGTGATAATCAAAGGAAATTTTTCCAGATGTAAGAGAAGCAAGCTTCACAATGCTTATTGCAAATAGAAAGAGTAAGTACTTTACCCTATTTCCCATAACGACTTTTCAAAATGAGATGGTATATGGGAAGTGGTTGAAAAAATGGTGTCATCTGAACCATTTTCAGGAACGTTCGTCCTTAGGACAAAACAGGCGAGCGCGCTAAATTTCAAATCGAAATATCTAAAAAAAATATCCCATCTGTAGGCTGAATACAATAAAGCAGAACGGATAGACGGACAGAAAAACTTAAATCGATCCAGCAAGAGATTCTAAAGAAATATAGGTCTATTTTAAGGCCTTTTGGATGTTGCATATATGTATATGAAAAAAAAAAATGTACCCTTGTTCCACTACATCACTTGTAGAGCATATTGAGTACAATGAGCGTAGAGCTGCACCGAAACATTGTAAAACATTAAAATTGATCAAAGAATTGTGATTTCTTAGTAAAATGATTAAAGTCGTAATATATGTGCTGGCTGAGACCTTTGAATAGGGTAATTAAATTATGGAAGATAACTGAAAAATTGACACGGCAGAAAAAGGGCTAAAATCTCAGGTACATTAGAGTCGAGAGAGAGAGAGAAGTTATTTAAGTCGTAGCTATGATGCTTAGTTAATCGGTAAAGGCATAAGACTTACCGCTTAAGGCGCACACTCACAAGACTGCCACCTCCCTATCTCTGCCATTTTTCTTCAACTCTTTCTAACCGTCACCGTGTCCACGAATAAGGGGACATCCCCTGATTGATTGATTCACATTAAAAAGGAGACCAAACTGTGACTTCGCAAAACGATCAATCACCTTTGTTCGAAATTTTTTGCGTTCCTTTTGTTAAAAGCGTAAAATCACTTATTTAACCATTAACGTTTGGCGTACTAAAAAACAAATCGGGACCATTTTTGCACCATTTTTGCTTATGGTACTGTCGATCTTCAAAAGTGATGGAGGAAGACGTGCAAAAAGTTGTCGGTTTTTTTCGCGTTTTTTTTTTTTTTTTGGCTTTTTTTAAATTGTGGGCGTGTTTTTGAAAAAATCAGTTTACATAGTCTTAATCGATCTGGAAAAGTTAATGCCGAATTTCAGCTTCTCATCTTTATTTTTGTGAGTGTGACGATTCCCAAAATTTACCCATCAAATTGATGGATTGTCGTAGTATATTTGCGAAACGTTCGCAAGCTAAAATCTTCGGAAATGAAAATAATATGTTAAGCTATCTCACTAACATTGCACAAGGCACAAAAGGGATATTGCAGTAGCCCGATATGCTTAAAGTGTAGCTTGCGAATTTTAAAAACCGACGTGAGTAAAACTGTAATCATTATTAATAATGGGAACGAAATAACAAATCAAAATCTATAGATTTTCATTCTGCTCTTGGCAAAAATAGGAATATATTCGATAAGTTGCTTGTAATTATGATAAGGAATGAATTAAGACTACGCTCGTAGTCTGAAAAAAACCCAAATGAGACACATTAACGTCGAAAAATGCCGAACTTGTACCTACGTAAAAGCATACTACTCATAGCCATTACGTCGTGTTGGGCCCAAATGATAATCTTATCTGATTCAAATCTGGTTTAGTTAGATTTTATATCAAATTGCTATTATAGGAAATAATTTTCACGATGAATTAAAAATTCGAACTTTTTGCCTTACAAAGGCTTACAGTTATGTCTTATTTATACATATTGGCTCATCTGCTTCAAATTTTTTGGATCAATTTAGAATGCTGACATACTGTTACCTTGCAAATTTTATTGCATGAGTTTTTCAAGACGAAGCGTTACATGGAGATTGAACTCCACCATGGTCCGATTGAAACCATTTTCATTATTATACGTTGCTGGTCGAATTTCGTCAAAATATTTTGAAAGAAGCGACCCACAGCAATCGGTATAATAAAAGTATATGTTAAATCTTTCTAAATGTTACATACGTCTGCACAAACTTACAAGCAGTGTACTTGCAGGTAGTGTAGGATATAAATATTAAGATTGTAATCAAAAAAAAAAAAAAATGTGGTTGCACTTATTAATTAATTTTGCTGTTTAAGCTGACGCGATTTACAGCAAAAAATAATGAGATTTACAAGCGTCGTACGTCACAAGTCAAAAGCATTTTTTCGGTGTTTGCGGTGTCCGTGACTTAACAACCTTGCTTTGTATCAAAATGATATTGGACGGTGTTATTCTAACTTTTGCTCTAGAATACCCAGTTAGCTCAAGGTCACAAAAACTGGAACAAGAAAACACATTGGTTTCTCTTATGTCTACCGATAGCGTAATGTTGCTTTAATGGACTTTAAAGAGTCCGATAACGAGAATAAGTGATAGACGTCATTTAGGTTCTTGCAAACGACACGGACCGGATTAAACAACTCATAATTATGTTTACACTGACTAAGCTTAACCAAGATAAAGTGTCTAGAGAAGCGGTTAGGGACATTAAAGCTTATTTCACCAAGTAATGAAGGCGTGTCAATAGCACCATTTATTACTTTGATTACAAAGGAAACGCCAAGAACAAACCTACGTTTCTCAAGAGACGGTAAGGACAGCAGAAGCAACCTATTTTCATACGGAGGAAGAGAGGCATTTGGATCCCAACCCAAATTTTTAAGGGCAAACAGCAAGCTTTTGAACAGATTCAATTGAATCTACGTAGCACCTACATAAAGGAGACCACACAACAGAGGCATACCACAACAGAGGTCTAACCAAAAACATGTACAGCCTTTTCGTAATGTAGGGATCATCAAGCTCTTTGGATCACCTTCTTGTAAAACCAAGCGCGGACCTAGCTTTGCTTATCGAGAGCTCAATATGCAAGTTAAATATTGAGTAACGAATGACTTTCTTCTTGAGAAAGAAAGCTTCTTACATTTACTCACATTTAGTTTCAGAAGATTCAAAGAGCACCATGCAACAAAATTATCCAAATCACCTTGAAGGTGATATCTTTATTGTAAAGGTTTTGCCATTTACGAAGCATATGTTGGTTCGTTAGCTTTTATGTCTAATTGCGAATTGGAGAGGTGGCTTTCTTACGGATCTGTTGGTGTGTTCCGATAATATGACCAAGACGAATTCTTGTAAATGTTTTGATCTTGGTTTTCTCGGGGTTAGGTTTAACAAGCGAGTGTTGTCAATTCGTCAATTTTTTCTTCTATTTCTTTTTTTTTAAGATAGTCTTTAAAAGTTAATCTTTTCGATAGTGTTGTCCTGAAACCGCGGATCTGGCTGTGATGTCTTCTTGCTCATTTCCCAAAAGAACAACATAACTCGGCTAGTCCTACAAGCAAGGCGCACAGCATGAAGGAAGAATAGAAAAATAAAGTTGCTTATAATTTCCCTAAAAAGAAAGTGTAAAATTATTTAAAGAAAATAAATAAAAACATTTTGACGGGCCACGGTCCCCTATACTCTTCATCATTTCGTTTAAACAGTTATTTATGCAACTTTTCAAAATAAGGCTTTAAGGCTTGAAGAAGCAGTCAAAAAATACTCCGATTCGAACCATTTGCGGTGGTCTTCGTCTTTGGGTTAAAATGTATTGATATGCCGCTGGTTCGCCGGTAACGTATTCAATAGCGTTCGTCCTTGGGCCAAAGCAATTCTATACTACAAAGTATCTCAAAAATTACGAACTATAGGTTGAACACAAGAAAATAAGACAGACGGACGGACGGCTGGAGAGACAAGTGGCCCTATCTCACGTCCTTCTTAATTTATCTTAATATGCTCTTGCACCACAAGTGGAGTAGGGTTTAAGAAGTTCGAAAGAGGAGTGTGTTGGAATGCGTGTGACGAGAAAGATGGTTTGGTCTCATGAGTCCTCCTGCATTCCCCAAATTTCATTTGTTCATACATGTGGTAAAGGCGGTAAGAGCTTTCTTATCTAATAAAGACTTTACGAAGACCACAAATGTAAGATGATTTTGATAGCTTCTACATTGTTCCAGGTGACTAACGAAAATCCATTAAAATTTTGATTATATATAAAACATGATTCTATTATAATACTCGCCATTTGGTTAAAAAAGCTTGTTTGCTTAATTTTTTGAAAAGTAATCTACTGGCCCGTAAATTTAAGCCCTCTGATAATCGCTATACGTGCACATCGTATAGTGATAGTGAAAGTGATCTCTTACAATTCAGACACATTAAGTTCGAAACTAAAATCGCCAAAGAAAATTTTTGATAGACATCTCGTCCAAAAGATGCTTATATAATGTAGAAATGTTGTGGTGCACCTATGCAGACGCAGCGGATGACTCAAAGACTATTCTGGGAAGAAAGTTTGGTTCTCCAGGTCTTGCAGTGCGCTATAAGTTTCCGGTCAAAGGAAACTCGGTTTGACAGAAATTACAGAGTGAAGCCCTAATGCAATCAAAATAATATTCTATTCTTTTCGATCTAAATCGAACTCTGACTTCGATATCGGAGTCGCAATTTTTTATATCAAAATTTTGAAATTTCCACAATAAGTACATTTCTTGCTTACTCTAATTACTCTAGTGCATAGTAGGCATATTGCTTTCCCTCTTGTTAATTCGCTATTTGTCCGGATGGCCGTGAATTCTCTTACGTCTTTCTTTGAATTTTGTTTCGTTCCTAACTCGCCTATCCTTTATAATCTCTTACTTTGCAGAT